ATGAAGAAATTCAGATCTCTATGTATTTCAATGGGGAAAATCTTTGTTAAAAAAGGTAAAAAGTATAAAGTTACAAAACCTGCAAGTCAGGAAATTAATCTCCTGAACAAGTTTAACTACTTGATGTACAAGTGGCCAAAATAGGGCAAAGAATGCAGAAGTAGTTTGATTGGTTCAAAACATACAGAACAATAAAATACAGATGTGAGCTCTGAATCATGCACACAATAAATAAATCTTAGTATCCGTTTTCAAAGAAGCTCATTTTGGACAGTCAAGGACTTTATGTATTTTGGCGCAACTTACGAAGCCAGCTGTGAGTTATTGACCAGGTACTCCAGCGGGTAGCTGCAGCTGAATTTATACAACAAACCGGGCAGGTAGCTGATTACTGTCGGCGGGTCGGGGGTGTCGATGTAGCCCGAGATGTTGCCAATCTGTACCAGGGACATGTTCCCGTAAGCGTTGACCCCATGGGTGGTGCTGACCTGCACAGAGACACTTCAGCCTTGTCTCCAGAGTCAATGAAACAATGACGGTTACTGATCGTCTGAACGCCACGTTCTGGAGTGCTGGTGTTGCTTACCACCAGGTTGGTACCACAGGCCTCCAGGGTGCTGAGGCTGATGCTGAACAGGACCGCTGTGGGGAAGGTGTTGTTGTTGATGAAGCCTCGGCACTGGGCGTCGCTGTGTTGGCTGTTTAGGGCCAAATCGGAGGCGGTATAGCCGGAGTAGAGCACCGGACAGAAATTGATCTTCAAGGTGATGGTTTGGACCCCGCAGTAAACGCTGATGTCCCGCTCGGCTGGACAAGAGGAGGACAGAGATGGAGAGAAACGGTGCATTCAATGTCTAAAAGTGGAACAGAGTCAAGTGAATTTAAACGTTGCCAAATTGTGAGTTTGACTTTTGACATCGTTGCCTTTGATGAGACGGCAGCTTTAATTTCCTGCCAGCTTACAAACAGTTCAAAGTTTGAGATTTCTCTTGATTTGCTGGGGAAAAAAAACAACTTTTATTAAATAAATTTTTAAAAAGCTCAAAGTTGTTAAGAACTTAGCATTCCTTCAAGGAACTGTTCATACCAGCATTTTAAACTTTGAGAAATGGACAACTTTTAATGGAGAAAAACAAAACCCTGCTGTGTTTGTTCCTAAGCAACGAAGTGAAACCTCAAGCAATCTGTCAGCATTTAACGTATGTGTTGGGGACGACCCTCAGCTACTACCACACCAAAGTTTAGCTCAATATCTGTACAACTGAACGAGCCATAGCCATATTTGTGTTTGTCAAGATTGAATAACTGTGGCTATCTTGAATTAATAACTCCAAAAGTTTATCATTTGTACACCCAATAACTGGTTTTTGAGTGTTTCATTCAAATCTATCCACTACTTCATGAGATGTTTTGCTAACAGACAAACGAATACACACCCAGGCGAAATCGTCATCCCTCAACTTTTGCCTTTCAATGGCAAAATATAAATATATTGATGAGAGAAAGTTGGAACATGAATGATTTCTCTTTATATATTTTTCTTTTTTTAAATAAAGGATGTCAGTTTTTTGCAGAAACCTTTCTAAAGCTGTTGCACAGATTTAATAAATGACTTCAAACCCTCTTTATATTGCCTGGATGAACTATTCAACATTTAATCATTTGATTCTTACATGTTTTTATTCAAAGTAAGATAAATACTCAGAAACGGCAGTCTGCTCCTTTTTTTTGCAGCCGTTCAAGGACAAACAGTTTCTATGGGAATCTAAATGATCTCTGCAGTGGTGGGTGAAATTAAAGATTTGATACCAGCTTTTCTCAACAGTATTCATAAAAACATGTAAAGTTTTCCGGACGTTCTGTGCGGCTGATGGATATGGAGCCCCGGTCGTGCCGTTTAGTTTTCTCACCAGGAAACCTGCTGTGGTAGTTGGCGTCACAGTTGTATCCATTAAACTGTGTGGAGACGGCGACGGTGTTACCGATCAGCAGGAAGATGAAGCCCATTCGAGCCATTTGGACCCTCGAGAGACGTTCGCCCAGGGTCATCTTCAGAGGATCAACCGCATCCCTCAGCTACATGTCAAGCAAACAAACAAAAAAACACTCATGTTCAAATTAGACGTTGAAAAGCAAATCCAGCGTCCCTCCTGAACTGCTGCTCGCTGTGACCTCGATCAAAGCGCTTCAGCCTTTTCTTCCTCCGAGTCTCCCCCTTTTCTACTTCTCGGGTTGACCCCCACTGTTGAAGGCCACCCCCTTTTTCCAGCTCCTTTCTCTACCCCACCTGTTGTGTTTTTTTTCCCATCACCTGTTTCCCCGTTTCTGAGGTAATTGGCCGGAGAAGTCCCTCTTCGGGTGGTTTGTGACAAGAGGAGAGTTGAAGACTGTGGCATCAGACTAAACCCCGACGTCGGCCTTACGTATGAACCCTCCACCCCTCGGGTGTGTGCGCGCAGATGAGAAAGATAGTTTAACAAAAAGCTGCTGCGGCGCAGATAGATGGGAACCTTCGTGGGACCTGAATGGACGGGACAAATCTTTTCACGGTACCAAGAAACCTGAGCATTCTCGCTGGGTTCCCACTCACCCCTTTTCAGCCTGATCTTCGTCTGTCAGGTCACACAAATGCTGGGTGGTGGTAGTGGTGAGGGGACGGGGGGGAGACGGGGGTCCAGCCTGGGAATTGGGCTTTCATCGACTCCTGCTGCAGCTCATATTCACATGAACACAAAAGGAAGATGACGGTTTGATGCGGGGCTGTGTGTAGCTAATTGTGATGCACAAAGCATCACTTTAGGTCAAGGCCTTCGTTTGTTGACTCAAGTTAACCTGGCTACGTTCTATACGCCTCCGCCTCCAGTAAGGATGAGTTACTGATGACTCTCAGTTATTACCGAACCAAATTTAGTTCAATATCTGTAAATTTGACTGAATTAAAGCCTGTTTTATGTTTGCTAAGATCAGCTTGAACTAGTACATTTTCACCACTTCAAAGCTTTCAATGACCCCTTTAAGTTGAAGGACTTTCCATTGGGGTTTGGGATGGGGGCAGATTTAGGATGAAATAGGGTTTTTTGGTCATTTCGGTGACTAAACTACCTGAGACTTAATGTTACAAAACGTTAGATTTTTAGGCTGATGAGCTGCCCAACTCTGCCACCCCCAAAATATGGTATTTTTGAAAGTTTTGTGTGAGATTGAGCTGTGTAATATGTTTTTAGAGCTTAATGGGGTGCCATTTGTTGTTAAGTTACACAGGCAAACATTAACAGCAACATTTTGGTTAATTTAGCCTTTCATAAGAAAAAAAAAGTTTTTTGAAAGGTCATAGTTTCACCATATTATTCATACATTTATAAATGTCATAATTCCAAATATTTAATTTACAAGCTAAATATTTAGTTTACAAACTAAATACTTATCTTGCAAGTTAAATATTTAGTTTACAAACTAAATGTTTATGTCCAAGCTAAATGTTTAATTTACAAACAGTTAGTGAACTAAAAATTTAGGTGTAAATTAAATATTTAATTTCCAAGCTAAATATTTATTTTCAAAACTAAACATTTAATTTCTAAGCCAAACATTTAATTCTTAAACTAAATATGTAATTTGCTAATAATATAATATAATAATAATATCTAATTTAGCTCAGACATAAATATTTATATTCCAAGCTAAACCTTTAATTTCCAAAATAAATATTTAATTAGCAAACTAAATATTTAGCTCGGACCTAAATATTTAGTTTGTACTTTGACTTGTAATTTACTGTTTGTAAATTAAACATTTATCTTGGACATAAACATTTAGTTTGTAATCTAAATATTTAGTGTGGAGCTTAATAGTTAGCTTCCTAACCAAATGTTTAACTTGCAAGTTAAATATTTAGTTTGTAAACTAAACATTTAGCTTGTAAAATAAATATTTAGGTTGGAACTATGACATTTATAAATGTATGAACAACATTGTGAAAATATGACTTTGAAAATATATATATATTTTTTCTTAAATGAACCAAAATATTGCTGTTAATTTTTGACTGTGCAAATTTACAAATGGCACCCCATAAAGTAAAACCTACCTTCATGTCTCTGATGTTAGCACTGTTAATACTTATTATAATACTTATTATGCTAATAAAGCTTTGCTACGTATAACCAAGCTGTAAGATTGAAGTAAGTTGGGTTGGGTTCAGTACATTTTCATTTGACCCTTCTTTCTGTGGTCCTGTAGTCCTGTGGTCCAGTGGTCTTATGGTCCTATGTACTTGTAGTCCTGTAGTCCCATGGTCTTATCGTCCTATGTAAATGTGTTTCTGTGGTCTTGTAGTCCTGTAGTCCTGTGGCCTTTTGGACTATGTACTTGTTGTCCTGTAGTCCTGTGGTCCTGGGGTCTTTTGGTCTTATGTATTTGTGGTTCTTTCGTTTTGTACACCTGTGGTCCTGTAGTCTCAAATTCCTGTGGTCTTCTGGTCCTTTGTTCTTGTAGTCCTGTAGCCCTGTAATCCTGTGGTCCTGTGGCCTTTTGGTCTTACGTACTTGTGGTTCTGTGGTCTTGTAGTTCTGCAGTTCTGTAGTCCTGTGGTCCCATGGTCTTGTCGTTCTATGTAAATGTGTTTCTGTGGTCTTGTAGTCCTGTAAACATGTAGTCCTGTGGCCTTTAGGTCCTATGTACTTGTGGTCCTGTGGTTCTGACTCAGATCTGGACCTGGAGAGGAGCATAGCTGCCTTCAGCTGTTCTGCACACAAGGTGAATGCTGAGTGCTGAATGTTAGCTGATGCTTAACTGTCATACTTAAAGAAAGGAAAACACTAGCTTAAAGATAAAAGTATCAAAACACAAGCTAAAAGTAAAACAAAGCAAAATGGTCACAGAAGCTAAAAGTAGCATATCACCAGCTAAAAGTAGCAAAACATTTCCTAAAAGCTAAGAGTCACAAAAGGCTAGATAAAAAGAGCAAAAAGGTAGTGAAATGGTAGCTAAATACAAAATGTAGCAAAATGCTAAATAATAGCTTGATGTATCAAAAAGTTAGCTAAAAAAAAGCTGTCTAGAAGTTTAAAGTAACATTAAGCTAGCTAGATGCTAAAAGTAGCCAAAGGTTAACTAAAAGCTAAAAGTAACTAAATAGACTAAGAGTTAAAAGTATCAGAATACGAGCCAAATTTATCAATTGACAAAAAAAAAATAAAATAAAAACGCAAAGTGCTTTCTAAAATTCAAAAGTAGTTGATAAAAAGCTAAATGCTATCTAAAAGAAAATAAAAGGCTAACTAAAACTGGCAAAAGGTTAGCTGAAAGTACCAGTAGTAGAACCTTAGCTGAAAACTAAAAGTAGAGGAACAGGGACTAAAAGCTACAAACGGCAAAAGGCTAGCTTAGCTAAAAGTTAGAAATTGCAAAATGGTCAATATAATGTCAAAGGTGACCTAAAAGTGGCAAAATTTAGCTTATTGGGTGAAAAGGCTATCAAAGCAGCAGAATAGTAGCTAAAATTAGCACGAGAAGACAAAAACGTAATGTTTTTGAAGGAAGTGAGGAGTTGTTAATTTATAATATGTATTTATAAGAAGATGGTAAAGAGCTTAAAAATCATATAAGTTACTAAAAACAAAAGTAATAGATTCCATTTCCTGAATGAGCCAAATGATTGGTATATAAACTGCTAAAATAGTTCAAAGTTTGATTACAATCAGTTCCATTTGGGTCTGAAACAGCAAATCTCAAATCTGTGCTCAGTGACTGGAGCTTCTTGGTGAATATTTTCACATTTCCTAATTCACAAAAACAGCAGCAGCACACAAAGCTTTTATAATTTCATTTATGTTTAACCTCTAAAAGCTTTTCTTCATCCTTAGCTGTGAAAGTATAAATCTGTGTGACAGTCCTCTGAGCTTCGAGTTTTCTCCGAGTCATTCCACTTAGTCTTCCAGAGGCTCAGAACCGACCGGCAAACTCAGATCTGCCTGATAAAAGTGTCTCCATCTGGTCAATTTGAAACATCCAGACTCAACAAACACAACCAGATCAGACGAGCCGGGCCGCAGCACAAAACCCGAGAAAGAAAGCACTCCTGTAAGCCAACGCTCCAGTTTCCCACACAGACAGGGAAGTGAAGCCCTCATCAAAGGCCCCGCTGCCATTTGACCCTCAGGGAGTAATGTTCGTATCCCTCCAGATTGATCATGTTTGGGTGACTCGACTCTTTCTCCTGTCGCCAAACAGTCAGTGAGGATTTATTAAGATTTAAACAAAGATTCAATAAGGATTCAATAAAGACTCAATAAAAAAAGAATAAAAAAAATAAAAAAGAATCAATAAAGATTCAATTAGGATACAAAAATGGCTAAAAAAAAGATTAAATAAAGATTCAGTAAAGATTCAATAACATTTTCCAAAAAATCAATAAAGATTACATTAGGATACAATAAAGACTCAATAAGGATTCAATAAGGATTTAATAAAATTCAATATGGATTCAATAAAGATTCAATAAAGATTTGATGAAGATTCAATAAGGATTCAATTAAAAAAGAATCAAAAAGGATTCAGTTAGAATACAATAAAGACTCAATAAAGACAATAAAGATTCAATAAGGATTCAATAAATATTCAATAGGAATTCAATAAGGATTAAATAAATATTAAATAAAGATCAAATAAAGATTCAATAAAGATTTGATAAGAATTCAATAAAGAGTCAAAAAAGATTCAATAAAGATTCGATAGGAATTCAATAAGGATTCAATAAATATTAAATAAAGATCAAATAAGAATTCAATAAAGATTCATTGAAAATTCAATAAAGATTCAATAAAGATTCAGTAAAGATTCAAAACAGTTTCAGTAAGGATTCAATATGGGCAAAACACAAGAAAAACTTTTTTGTTTAAACACTGACGATTAAATGGAAAAACAAAATAATGATTCCTTTCAGAAATACATGTTCCCTCTGCGGTGAATGTACTTAACAAGATCCTATTTAAACGCAGCCTCACATAACAATCCACTGTCTGCTGGGATGTTTCCATATTTTAATGTATCTTGTATTTTAGAATGGTTTTAACTGAATGTTTTTAATTGATTTAGCTTGGTTTTAAAGA